GCAGAGACTCGATCTCAATTTATTCAGTTCAAATAAATTTCAACAAAGTATTACCTGACCGTCTTGATCTGTATCAGCTCCTTGCCTCAAATTATCCCACATTTTGAGCAAAGTATCTCTTATACTTTGAGCTTTGGGATTATCAGCAGCCCAGCCTCTGTTTTCATTGATTCGCTAAAATAAAATGAAAAAGGATCGTATAATTATATTTACCTAGAATACACAAGTTGTTGCAGAAATATCAACATTAATCTCAATATAATTAAATATTATTAGTTCAACGAATGCTTACTTGTATAGCAAGGTCCAAATCCTTCTTATCAATTGCTCCACTTTGATTGAAATCTAGAAACGTGAACAAAAACACATGAGTCCAGGTTTTAATAAACTCCACTTGCCTCGAAATATTCATTTTCTATCACATATCTGCGTATATCGAATTTTCTTTCATATCACTCACGTAAGGAAATTAAATTTACAAAATTGTTAATCTGACAATAAATAGAAAAACATTTATCAACAATTTTTCAAAAGCATCTTAAAATTTGTCTTCAAACTGTGTTAAAATTACTTTCCACGTATGTTATTAGTATTTGTTGCAATCAGGAACAGCGATGAAGATGTTTTTAATTAATTGCATTAATAAGATATTAAAGAACATCCAGAAAATTATCAAATTTTTAATTTGCACTCCAGATCGTATATCAAAGTGTTACGTCGTAAAGAACCACCCTTCCCTCCCCCTTTCCATCGAGAAACCTCAGTGGACTTCATTAATCTTTAATCATTGAAAAACTCAAAGCTCGTCAGGGATGAAGGGAATTAGAGAAGTGATAATCACCGATTTTCATGAAATTTCGTTCCCCAGTAGATCTGAAAAAAATATTCCACACTAATTTTTTTTCTATCGGCCATCGTCCACATTGAGGAGGTATTAAACATCGAATATCTCGAAAATTATTAGATATACAGTAGTAGGTAGTGTAAATTGACAAAATTTATACTCTTCAACGACAAACATTGAAAAGTGCAAAATGATGTATTGTTTACTTTTCAAATTCGTTGCTGAAACATATTCGCGACCTAAATAGTAGAATAAAAAATAAATAACAATTTCGTCACGAAAGGGTTAAATAATATATGAATTTTTTAATCTATCAATTTTCGCGCAAATTTGCTTCGCAAAAAATTACCCAGCGAAAACATAAAACACCAGACAAACCATAATTTTTATTTCACCGTGACATTACGATCCTCGAGCGCGCGAGATAGCTGTATAGATTTCCCGGGAAACGTGAGCAGGCAGAAAGGTAGGAATAGGTGAGAAAGAAGCAGTAGGTGAACATTGGCACGGTACCAAAGGAAAGAGCGTAGATAAAGAGTGTTCGTAACGTCTAACATTATGTCACGATGATGTCACAGGCGTCATTGCATTATATTCACGGTAGCCACGTTAACATTAATACCCGCCGTTTCAGGTAGCAACCTAGCCTCGTCAGCTTATCATTCTGTACAGCGTCGATGATGGAAACAAAACCTTCTGCGCTTCATTGGAAAGCTTTCACAGGGGAAAAGGGGCTCGATCACGTAGGCAAAACACGTGACAAGGAATCGATGTAATGAAATATGGGCGTGTGTCAGGTGTGGGTAGCTAGAAGGGGTGGTATTTTGGCCTGTATCCAGCTAGAGTTGTGTGCAAGATTTCACGACGGACCTGTGGAAAGGACGGCCTCTCGTCGATCGTACCATTCATCGTTCACGGCAAGGTCGTCGTCGTCGTCGTCGTTTGAATCGGACGTCATTAGTTTTCGTAAAGTCGACCCAATTTCGTGGCTCGTGGCCTGACTTTTCTATCCCTTTTCAGGTGTTGCCTTACTATCCTTAGATCCCTCAGGGATCCACCAGCTTCCCGTTTATTAATTCTGATTTTACCGAGCGAGTCCTTTCTTTTCCGGTGCTCTCCTCCTGCTGTTACTTATCTACTGTTTCTCTTTGCCCCAGTTTTTCTTTCGTTTTTTCTGTTTTTTTCCATTTTTACGTTCTCTTCCTATTCTTTTCTTTATTATTTTCACCCGTCCGCCGTGCTAAACAGCAATTACCATTCAGCGACGTGGATTTTTACAATTCCGCTGTTATGGGGAATTCTTTTATCGAGGTTAGGATGACATAATTTGGGGATCGGAAGGTTTGGAGTGTATCGGCTTCCAGGATTCGGTGAATTATGGAAATTTATAATTGAGTGTGAAGAGAGTGGAGAGCTGAATTTTTTAAATTGACTTCACCTCGGAGTTAAATTTAACTGCTTTTTTTAAGTAACTGTTGGCCCACTTTTTACTTGTGAAATATTTCTTGAAATATCAATTTTATGGTTAAAACGAAATGCTGTATTCTGGTCACATCAGGGATCAAATTAAACTTTTTCCAATCTTTATTTAACGGTTTTTATTGAATTTTATACTGAATACGATTTAGTTTTGATTGAAAGTATTATACACGTCGATCTCGAAATTATGTGTTAATATTACATTGTTTAGCCTCGTCAGCTTATCATTCTGTACAGCGTCGATGATGGAAACAAAACCTTCTGCGCTTCATTGGAAAGCTTTCACAGGGGAAAAGGGGCTCGATCACGTAGGCAAAACACGTGACAAGGAATCGATGTAATGAAATATGGGCGTGTGTCAGGTGTGGGTAGCTAGAAGGGGTGGTATTTTGGCCTGTATCCAGCTAGAGTTGTGTGCAAGATTTCACGACGGACCTGTGGAAAGGACGGCCTCTCGTCGATCGTACCATTCATCGTTCACGGCAAGGTCGTCGTCGTCGTCGTCGTTTGAATCGGACGTCATTAGTTTTCGTAAAGTCGACCCAATTTCGTGGCTCGTGGCCTGACTTTTCTATCCCTTTTCAGGTGTTGCCTTACTATCCTTAGATCCCTCAGGGATCCACCAGCTTCCCGTTTATTAATTCTGATTTTACCGAGCGAGTCCTTTCTTTTCCGGTGCTCTCCTCCTGCTGTTACTTATCTACTGTTTCTCTTTGCCCCAGTTTTTCTTTCGTTTTTTCTGTTTTTTTCCATTTTTACGTTCTCTTCCTATTCTTTTCTTTATTATTTTCACCCGTCCGCCGTGCTAAACAGCAATTACCATTCAGCGACGTGGATTTTTACAATTCCGCTGTTATGGGGAATTCTTTTATCGAGGTTAGGATGACATAATTTGGGGATCGGAAGGTTTGGAGTGTATCGGCTTCCAGGATTCGGTGAATTATGGAAATTTATAATTGAGTGTGAAGAGAGTGGAGAGCTGAATTTTTTAAATTGACTTCACCTCGGAGTTAAATTTAACTGCTTTTTTTAAGTAACTGTTGGCCCACTTTTTACTTGTGAAATATTTCTTGAAATATTAATTTTATGGTTAAAACGAAATGCTGTATTCTGGTCACATCAGGGATCAAATTAAACTTTTTCCAATCTTTATTTAACGGTTTTTATTGAATTTTATACTGAATACGATTTAATTTTGATTGAAAGTATTATACACGTCGATCTCGAAATTATGTGTTAATATTACATTGTTTGGATGAAGTAGAAATTGCTGGATAAAGGAAAGCAGCTTGCTCCTTCAAATTATACTTGTCACTCTCGATATCTCATTTGAAATTGGAACTAGCGTAACTGAAGTGAACTGTAATGTTCAAAACGAAATAATTTTTCAAGTTAATGCGGAATGGCAGATTTTACGAGAACTGCTAAATTTCATCGATAAATTTCAAAATTTCACGTTGCAATTTTCATTTTTACAACCAAGTTTCACTTCCGATTTTAATTAATACTTGTCAGTACTTCCAATTTCACTTTAAACTCCGTCTAATTTATAAATTTTGAAAGAAATATCTCTGTTAATTCGAAACTATTATATTTTACTAATTACTTTCTTTGACACATAATTATCTTTTCACAAAAGCTTCATTGAATTGATATAACATTCCACTTTGGAAAATTCGTATTAATCTGAAGAAAACAATCGAACTTTACCGTAGAACAAACCGTTATCGTGAAATATACAATCACCTCCAAATATTTTCGCTTATAAACAATCTGTCAGTGCGACCTTAAATTATATTTAAAAAGAAAAAACTTAATTGAATTATATCAGAAATATCGTTCTTTCAAATCTCATTACTATTCTTCCAATAAATTATTTTAGGCTTGCTCCCAAGTATCTTACACACGCGAAAACAACAGTATATCTATATAGTTTTATCCGAGAGAGAGGGATCGCATAAATCGTATAAAAAATTTATATTTGAAAGACAATCTAGATCCATGAAAAATCGCTGAAATGTCAATCTATACGACCAAACTTCTAGATTGCACGCGAAGATTCGCGATTCACCGTAGAACGTTCTCAGCATCTCTGGGTCATGGTGAAATACCGTATCGACGGCGAAGAGCAGCCCTGTTAGGATATGTTTAGCAGCCGATCGACGGTCAAAGAAGGGAAGAAAGTAAGGGGCTAATGAGGTCCGCGAAGCGTGTACACGCCTGTGACCTCCACGCTCTACACGAGCAACCTCGCCACATAGCGGCGAACACTGTGCTAACGCAGTTCTTGATGCGCACGTGTTCACACGTACTCGACTCTATTCGCAAGTTTTGTTCGTTAATTGCGCGCAATATTTACGCCAGCCTGTTACTCACACCCGCGATAATTTCACTCGCGCAACAAGCAACCGTGTACTTTTCAAACTGCACGCTGCAAGGCGTTCTATGCATGCATGTATGTATATACGGGGTGTTGAAACGAAAAGGATCGAAGACTTCGAGGGCGTGTAGTATTCGTCGAGAGGGGTAAAGAATGATTAATCAATGATTGGACCCTCTATTTTAACACCCTGTACAACCAAAATAGCCGTGCGCCTCTTTCTCAGAAATATACAGGGTGTGGTCGAAAGTGTAGTACAAAAGGACGGGAGGTGATTCTTTGCGCAAAACTGAATAAAAAATGTAGAGTGAAATTTTTCCATACGAAGCTTAGTTTTCGAGATAATCGGGTTTGAATATCCTTCGGGTACGGTTTACACGAAAGCGACAGTTCGCTCGTATCTTCGAACTCGATTTTCTCCGAAACTAAGCGTCGGAGGAAAAAATGTTATTGTACGTTTGTTGTTTACTTTTGCACGAGGAATCGTTTCACGGCCGTTTGTACACCGCTTTCAACAACACTCTGTATTGAACCGCGGCCAAGTTGCATGAATGATTGCCTGGATGCACAGCCGCATAAACGGATCCGTTGCTCTAGGCACTTTGAAGATACGCGTACACGAGCGAACGTGTAATTTCAATGCGGCAAGACAGCCCCCTTAACCGAGTCCATTGTTTATCTGATCCTGCTCATACCATAAATAGGTGTCCTGGCTGACTCACTTTTGCTCAACCACGCCAACAGCGTAGGTGCCATAGAGAGGCCGAACAAAACGCCCCTATATAACCTCGATTCCGTTTTCAGCCTCCGAAAATACCCTCCGGAGGATCTCGTTCACCTTATCCCCCTACTGCTTCCTTTAGACACTATTTCATTTCGTTGGAAAGAGCGTGGTTGCTTTCGGCCGCGATAGCCCCAAGAGGGTCCACAAGTGGAGAAAGATTGCGGGGCAGCCGCCTTGATTCGAGTAAGAGCGACGGTAAATGTGTTGGGATCGCTCGGAGGACAATCAGTTCTGTTATTTCGTTACCAGGCGACTGACAACACTTTTCTTGAGGGGAAAATACTGGCTAACTGGCGATGAGGACTTGCTCTGTATCGGTCTCGTGGATCATATCCGAGGAAGTTCGTTTACTCGATTAGACCGTGGAATTTTCTTCAGGCAATTACGGACTGCTGAGGGATATTACAGTTTACGCGAAATCGGATTACTTAGAATCTTTTTCACGGTCACATTGGCAATTGAGAAGGAAATGTTTCACACGTGTGAACAATTTGACGAACGGATTTTTTGGTGTTGGTGTATTCGATTGAAGCTGATGCTTGATAAATTTGTTACAGTGCCTGTGAAACGTGTCTTACTTAGCTGCAGGACATTTTGGAGGCAGAAGTTTCACTGAACTGACTGTATTATTAAGTAAGTCTTACAAATATCTACGTATACACGTCTTAGATATGTAAATTCTTATTTGAATCCCTCTTTGAAGTATCTGTATCAAGAATATACATACTTAAGTCTGCTATATCTCAATTCGTATGGATGCTTCTAGAAATTGTCGGGTGCAATCATTTTCTAGGCATAGTTTAGTAATTCTGTACAAGTGATTTTACAAGGATAAAATATTTCTAATTTTATCAATAGTTGTTTCACTGTTATAGCTTTCCTTGCGAGAACATTGTGATATTAAGACTTCGGTATCGAAATTATGTTGTTTTATTGACATTTAGTTTCAATAAAAAATTGACCGTAAGAAAATGGGAAAAGCTTGAACGAAGTTTTATTCTTGTGACATAACGTTGCAAAAAATTCGCTATATAATTAACTTACGTACAATGTGACAAAGTTTAATACGATCAGAGTCAAGTAACATTAATGTCACGCAGATATGTGTCGGAACACATAGAAAATTCAACGTTCGAACTCATTTACTGCACAATTGTTAAACCTGTCAAATCCCGCACAAATTGAAATTTTCAAAGCTTCGTTGAAAATTTAAAAAATTTCAAACTTTCTTTTCCACGACGAAACGTTATGACACTGTAAAGTTGTTCACTCACCGAAGAAAGTGTTGAAAACGTAGAGTAACTTCTTCTTACGGAACTCTGACAGTGGCATCTTGTCAATCTGTAACAGAAAGAACGAAGAGGGTTGCTAAATGTGCCTGTACGTTCGTGTGTGCCATGTTAATACTCATTCTCCGATCGAATGGCGATCAGGGTCGATTGTCTCGAGCGGCCGACCCTTATTTTATCTCGTCAGTAAAAAGTAATCGCAGCTTGCTTTTATCGAGCTGCTTTGTACATCACCTCGATATTTACAAGGCCGTTCTGAAGACACAAAGTCGGCTTAATTCAGGTAGATCGACAGGTGTTCAATTTTAAATGACCACTTTTTCCCTCGACATCTAGATAAGAATTAAAAACTCGCGAATTTTGTATTTCTGACTAGTTTTCCATTCGCCGATAAACTTTTAAATATGCAGCTTTTGCCAGGCTTGAAATAAGATTCTCGTCGGCAGTTTTTATTTATAATTTTAGGATAATTCTTGTTTATATTCATTACTCTGTGTCGTTAAATATTACTGAAATATTTCTAGGCAACGTGACCAGAGTATGCTGTTATTAATAGCAGTATTGGTAAGTGATAGCAATTGGGGAATTATAGTGCTCCAGAGACCGCGTATTTATAATAATAATTAATCGAAGAATTTAAGTACATTCTTGTAACGAGCTTTATTACTATAATTTTTGTTTCAATTTCTGTCAAATTTAATTTCGTTAAAAGTGAGCATGATTGATACAACTTTTCTTTCAAATTGTATCAAATTTCATTTCGTTCTAAAAATTGAGCGTTATTACTGTAACTTTTATTTCGAATTCTGTCAAATTTAATTTCGTTAAAAGTGAAAGAAAAAATTTGACGATATAAAATCGTTTCTTCACCTATTTCAAGCAGAATACAAGAACGCCTGGAATTCTTATCTTATGGAACATGATCCTTACATTTGCTTTGACGAAGAAGTTTCAAAAACCTGAGAATGCTTCCTTTTGTCTTACGTCGAAACGACTGAAGTATGGATGAGGTAGAACTCTTTATATAATAAGATTTAAAAGCCTTTGCTTATCGAAGATAACGTGTGTTTAATGTTGTTTGAGTGTTTAATGACGCACATTTCGCTGTAAATTCGCAATAATACGGTAGATGTAATTTAAGATATCTACAAACATCAAAAATCTGTTATTACTGGGAATGTGACGTAAATAATATTCAAGTGATTCATCCTGTTACGTAGAAACGGCGAGATGATCGACGGAAATGAACTCTCTAGCATCAGTTCAGTCAAGAAAGGAATAAATTCATTTTTTTTAATAATTGAGAATCACGTGTAGATACAGTACAAGAAGTGTCCAAAATTCGCGTTCGATGGTTCAGTCAAAAGTCGAAGAATTAGAGCTCTTACTACTAGGGTATCCGATTACTCGGAGTACTCGTTGTAATCCGAATTCCGGTTCGAGAATCGGATATGAGTATGAGTACTCGAGTATCCGGATTTGCATTTGAGTACTCGAGTATTCGAAATTGAATCTGAGTACTCGAGTATCCGAAATAGAATTTGAGTCCTCGAGTATCCGGACATGAATCCGGGAACTCGAGTATTCGAACTTGAATCTGAGTACTCGAATATCCGGACTTTCATCTGAATACTCGAGTATCCAAACTTAAATCTGAGTACTCGAGTATTCGAACTTGAATCTGAGTACTCGAGTATTCGAACTTGAATCCGAGTATTGGAGTATCCGAACTTGAACGGTACTCTACAAAAGTGGCTCTAACACCGTCTATTTTGTATAAAAAAAATATTTTTGTATATTTGGACAATTATGTATTACAGGCTTTGTGACTAAGTTCCCGCACATTTCCTTATATTCGCAGAAAAAATTCACAAAGATACCTATGATTCTCGAGCGGTCAAGGTGGCCTAACACCTTAACCCTTTGACTTACGATTATTTTACCGACTATCTGTACAAGCCTTATGTTCATACACTCTATATATATACACACTTGTTAATTCTTAATTTCAGAAATTAAAATGAAAGTTAAAATTAAAATTCATTTTTCTGACACGAGTGTGACAAAATCATTGTAAGACAAAGGGTTAAAAGATCTCGTAGGTTCACGTAATGCCTGTCGGTGAGACTAATTCATTGGAAAGCTCTGGGATGCGTGCCTACGCTGTTACAGTTTCATTTAGTTCCAGGACTGTTACGTTAGGAAATCCTAAAGTTAGCTGGATTTCGCTGGAGTTCCTTGCAATGTCAGTAGCATGTAATATTAAGATACAATACGGGGACTGATCAGTGCGGTTTCGTTACGCTGATCGATCGGATTCCTACTCAGAGCATGAGTTAGTATTCAGACATCTCTTTTTGCATATGATCCATCTTCTCTATAATTATATATAGTATAATTGATCGTCAAATTTTAACTCAGATATCTCGAATTCGTTTAAAAAAAAAATACACTTCTTTTTCTTTATTACCTTTATTATTTATTTTACCATTTTCTGTAAAATTACGTATGGTATAATTGATCCTCGAATTTCAGCTCGGATATCTCGAATTCATTAAGAAAAAGAAAAATGAAGAAGCAATAATCAATGAATTTAACTTCGTATCGATGTTGTAACCTGTTACACAACAACTTCCATATTTAGCTCTAGCCAGAAAGATCGAGCAACGATCTTTGCTCAAAATATAGTACAATTAATCTTCATCTGATCTACAATAAATAAGAGAAATAATAACACGCAATCTCCACTGATAAGAATCGATTGGAGGGAGCTACTTTCAAAGAAAGCTATTGCCAACATTGTAATCGTTCAGAGTATCATTAAGCGTCAAGGTGAGTGTTGACGTCAATCTTCAGAGTGGTTAATGTTGCACGGTAATCATTTCATTTCTCGATTCAGTCAGTCAACGAGGCGAAACTCGTATGAAAAATATTCACATGCGTCAACCTTTCTCACGTAATCTCTTGTTGTTTACCAATTTTCCAATCGACTCCAAGGATCGATACAGGATGCTGTGTGTCTTCTCGTTCGGTCGTCGATGCATTATCGTCTAATTTGTTTAAGTAAGTCAAGTTGGTGAACTTTGTCGGACCTAAGCAACCAGTAAGAATGTCTTTCGATGGTACAAGTAGTTTAATAGCATACAACTTCTGCTCGTAAAGTTAGCTGTTCGTTGGCAAACAACGCGTTTTGACCATAAATTCAATTATTTGAAATTTTCAGATAGTTCGATCTATTTTGTCAGCATTTTTCTGGATCAGTCGGAATTGCAATCGTACAAGTAGCTTAATGGTAACTTCTGCTCACATTATTGGTCATCTAAGTGTTTACTTTTGATTTTTTCATTGCAACGCATTGTAACGTGTAATTAGAAACTTATATTGAAACTTGTTGGTAATACACTTATATTGAATAAGAGAAAAATTGGTTTCAGGTTTTTCTCATTTATACTTATTTTAAGAGCAAAGTACGTATATATAAATTCCTTTAGGTTTCGTTAAAAGGGGTAAGTGAACAGTAATGCTTCGTACGCAATAAATGAAAATTAAATGAAAATGCTACTGGACATAACACAATTCGAAGCAATTTTAACAAATTATAGCTCACAATTTTCCATTAGTTTCACAAGGTACAATCTGCTAGAATTGAATGCAAAACCGAGTCGTAAAAGAGCATTTGATCAAAAACACTTCCTGCGACAACCTGTTATTTTATATCGTTCCACCGGTCCAGTCTAGTCAATAATATATAAATTCGCGGTCAGATAAAATTTCGAAATAATAGCGCGATAAAATAACCTTGGAAAACTCGGTAACTACGTGAAATGAAGTTTTTACTGTAGCGAGGGAGAGAGAGAGAAAAAAAGAGAATCTTTTAACGGTTATCGCGAACCGATAAAAGCTTTCAGCGCAGACCATCGGCAGGAATGAAGCGCGAGATAAAAAATAAAATAATAATAAATCGATAAATTATTGTGCTCGAAATTCGGCAGTGTCTGTCGAGATAACGTGTAGTCGGACAATATAGCGCCGCAGCACAAAGATCTCGAGTAAGCTCTAAGTCTATTGTTTCTGCTAACACTGAACAACCTCGATTCACTCGCCATGGAAAATACACGTGAGACGCGACTCCTGCGTTGCAGCTTCGTTATCTTCTCCTGCCAATATATCAAACTGCCAATACGCTAAATGTCGTCTAGATTTGATGAGATACACGTGAACGCTCGATAAAAACGTTCGCAAAGAGTGTCGCGAAGCGTGCTATAAATTGGATACTGCATGAAATTGATTTTAGAATTGTTTCCTTTTGCTCCCTCGTATTTTTCTCGTCTTGTTAGCCGGATTAGAACTTCCAATGAAATATTTCCAAGTGAAGTGAACGAAATTTGACGTTAGAATGAAAATTCGTGGGATTTTTTCAGAGATAATAATTAGAGTTCCGTAGGATGCCAAAATTATTTTGCTTAAATTAGTTATTAGTTAAAATTAGTTAAGCTATTTAATGAAGTATAATGATGATTATAGGGTGTGGTCGAAAGTATAGTAAAAATTGGCGGGAGATGATTCCCCGTGCAAAAATAAACAATAAATGTGGAATATTCTTCATGCAAAAGTAAATAAAAAATGTAGAATACAATTTTTTCATACGAGGCTTAGTTTTCGAGAAAATCGGGTTTGAATATAGGAGGAATGTCGCTTTCGTGTGAACACACCCAAAGGAATTTCAAACCCGATTTTCTCAAAAACTAAGCCTCGTATGAAAAAATTGTATTCTACATTTTTTATTTACTTTTGCATGAAGAATATAAACTGGTGTGATTGATTTCGATATAACCTTAAATATCTATTTTTGGAAAGAAAGATTGTATAAATATTCACGCATGTTCGTGATGGTATTAATAAATGTCTAGAATGCGATAATAAACTTGGCTCTTAAAGTTGAATTGCAGAAGCATTTCGTTGATGAACTTTGTTTCACTGAACGCTGTTTCATTGCCACATGCAAAATGCATTCACGTTGTACATGTTAAAGTAGGAAAAGACTTCTGCTTT